GTCATGTAATCATAATTTATACATTTGGTAACTGATGAGCACTTACAAGTCTCAGGGTCCCATGATCATTATTGAGATCTTCACAGCCAGCCTGTGACAAGGAAAGCCAACCAGGAAGCTGGCAGAAAGTTGCAAGTTGCAGTCATTTGACCTCATGCTTAACAACCATATGTGACACCAGGCCTTAAAATCAGAGCTGGAATTGATATTGTAAGTTGGACATGGTTATATGATAGTTCACTTTACAAGCACATTGCTTAGCAACTGAATTGCCAGTTCCAATTGCAGTCACTAGGTGAGGAGTACTTGCATTTCAGAATTTTTCCACTATCTCTTAGATTAATTATTTCAGTTGAGTTGTTAATTACTGCTATCATCTGGGTTTTTAGTGAATATACTGGATAGGATTTGGAAAGAGTTTTATGAATTGTCAGCTGCCAAGAATACCATAATATAACTTCCCTCAAATAACTGCATCTGCTATATATTTGAGAATTATTTTAAGATTTTTTTCTTCTTGATGTTTTGTAACAACCAGGCTTAAGAGTTGTATCTGCATTTAATGGATTATTTCTAGTGGTCCCAGTTGTTAATGTTACCCAGTGTGTCTTGTTTAATGAGAGTCACTGTGAGTAGGCAACTATATAAATTTTCTAAAATAGATAGATAGATAGATAGACAGACAGTCAGATAGATAGATAAGTGCCATTTGCTAACTGCCTATCATAGTTATGTGTTGATTTATTTCATTCCTTAAAACCTAGACTGCAACTTTTGGTGTCAACAACTTTGAAATTGTGAGTTGACTTTTAACATTTTATTTTAGTTATGTTGTTTGTATTTTATACTTGTCAACTGGTCGGAGAAGATTTTTTTAATTAAAAGATGGGGTTATACATTAAATAAATTATGAATTTCCAATTTCCAAATATGCAGGAGCAAAAAAAAAATGGTGTCAGTGCCCATAATTATTTGACTGCACAAAGGTATAAATATTACATAGATGAAAATCAGAAGAAATCTATAAGGACTGTTGATGTTCCTTTCCCCATGTTAACATTTCCCTGATATATTAGAATAAAATAGTTAAGCCAATTTTCTTAAGCAAGATTTGTTGAAAAGAGATAGTAGGATAAATTTACATATCCTGCTAATCTATTAATGGCTATACATGACTTATAAATTATTTAGAAACTGTATAAACATTTTGTATTGATTCAGGCAATGTATTAAGGCCAAAACAAGTAAATAATATTATAGTTTAATGCAATACGTGAATCATTAATTATGAAATTCTGCCACCTTTGTCATGTTGGAGAGGAGTTTTACAAGAGGGAAAAACAAAACTAATTTTATGTCCCATTGCCTATGTGGCTGGATTACTCATTTATGACTTGTACTTTAGGCTTCAGCAGAAACATTGTTCTTCCTATCTTCTAAGGAAAAAAATTGAGTTGTTGATCTATAAAACTGATCCATTTGTCATAAAATACATTTACTAAGTACCTCTTAATAAATATATTTTATAGAAATTGAACAAAATGTTGTGGATTTCAACTTATATCATTTTCTGCATCTAGTATTTCAAAGTCTCCATTCTATAACTATAAATGGAATAATGAAAAACTATAATTAAGCTCTATAATACTATTTTAATTACAAAATTTTAAAAATGTTATTTCAAAAAGCTAAATTAGATTATATTTTTCTTGTGTTCACAGAAACTGTCAATTTTGTTTTTAATGTACACTATTAAACTAAGTTCCCATAATGATTCTAGAATAACCCTCCTGAAACATTAGCATAGTTTTCAGTCATTTATTTTTCTGTGTCTCAGAAAAGCACTTTTGTGTTCAGTTCTTCTCTCAATACTTTTATCTTCTACAACATAATGAATATGTTTTTACATTATGAAAACTAGCTATTTAAGAAAACAGAAAGGCTATACATTAATATTGGTCTCTTTTTTAAAATGTTAGTTACCAAGAATATATAACCAAAAATTAAACATGAAAAGGAAATGAACAAAGAAAAGAGCTAAATGCAACAGTTATTTAATTAGTTATATGAATTTATTAATTCTATTGACTTTATTCATTATATTTCTAGAAAAAATATCTAAATAGTATATTATTGAAAGATAACTTAAAACCCCAAGGATATACTTTTCAAGTAAATTTGGTTATGGTTATGGTTTAGAAAGATAAGAGATATAGATTGGTTCTAATATCAATGCAGGCAAAAAATGGATCATAGTTCCAATAAAATAAGATTGCTTTAACATTTTCTTGCAGAAGAACCCCTCTCTTCATTGTATAATTGATAGTGGAAACAATAAAATATTTGATTTGGACATAAGTAAACAACATTTAGTCCATTATTTTTTCAATGTTTTTAATGATATTTTTATTCACTGTCCTATGCTAAGAATTTCAGTCTTAATTATGTTCATCTTGATACCGTTTACCCTCATATCAATCAGATACATATCTACCAAAGAGTAAGATATGTAAGATAAGAGTAAGATTTTCAGTAGGAATTGGTATTAAATGAGTCTGCAGTTTCAATAAATCACCCTGACTAATTTTCAAATCTGGAATAAGGGAATTTTTCTTCCACTAAATTATTTTTTTTACTGAAAAAAATGTAGCATAGGTAGAGTAGAAAGAAAATGGAGTATAACACGATTTCAACATGCACATATTGTGTTTACTTGAAGTCTGTTTCAAAGAAAAATTTTTGTTTTGCTTTATTACTTGCCTTTAAGACATAAAACCACATGCTGCACTATATACATGCATTTGTCTTTTGCAGTATTTTCAAGAGCTGCCCACCTGCTGATGTTAATTTAAGAATAGAAGTATTTTTAAGCGAACTAAGCATTTCATTTCTTATTTTCCTTACTTCACATTGTTCTAGCTTAATCAAAAACAGTTAAATACTCTCTTAGGCAATACAGTCTGTAGGTTTTGTTATTTTCTAAACCAGATTCCTGGTTTTTCCAAAGAGATTATATAAACATATATTCAAAGGTATGCATATCATTGTAGTAATAACAGGAAATAGTGCATAAACCATGACATTGTCAATAAAAAAACCCTCTTTAAGACATTTTAATCCATTCTTACCTAGAAAATGTCCAAGTTAACAAATGAGAAAAATACAAATAAGAAGTAAGGATGCCCACAATTCAACGTGATTTGGAAATTCTTCAGACTTCATATGAATATGAATATAGCATCTGTCATTCACTAAAACTGCCCAACTTTTTTAGGCTTTTATGGGAGCCTGATGAAATCTTATGATTGGATTAGATATTTAACATGGTTCTTAAAGCAGCAGCTAACTTTTTCCTCACACACACACAAAAGAATAAAAAAAAATCGATGGACTGCTTTAATAAATAGCAGAGATGTTGAACTTATTATAGGCCCAATACATTTTTGGAGTCACTATTGAAATGTATGCAGCCATATTAATAATCATGAAAAAAAATCTCAGCCAACAATATCAAGGATCATGAACAATAAGGGCAATAAATACATTGTAGCAAGCATTTTGTCTCTTTTGACCCTTTTTATTGTTTGTTGACCTGTGTGTTACAGGCAGAAAAGGAGAATATACATACATATATACGTACCTCCACAAATTCTCAAAATGTCTCCATCTTTTTATCTTAAGAATAAAGAAGTGACACTGAAGGAGCACTTGATTCTACTCAGCTCTATTTTTCGATTACTTTAAACAAAACTGTATTTAAGAAACACAAGTCACCAAAAATAATCTTGGAGTAGTAGCAGCATTTAATTCTTCATGGTATGTTTTTATTTCATCAAATTATAAATGTCCCTGATGATTTAAGGCTGTACAGTGCTGTACAGGAAAATAATCTGATCTAAAGACATTGTTTCTGACAGTCCATCACTCTCGTAACATTATAATTTCATTTTTTTTCTACAAGAAAGACATCAGCAAAAAGCCATCTCAGCTGAGGATTAACAGCATATTAACTCTCAATCTCTGTACTTTGATTTCTATACACAATCATACTCCCACTTATTAATATACCATGAAAACTATACCAGAAGTATATTGTTGGGAGGTGTTATTAACTTTAATAATTTTTATTATGCCAAAGTTGGTAAGTTAATAATTACACATGTGTGTGGTTCAGTGAACTGCTCAGATAGTAAACCCATAAGATGATAAAGGCAAAAGACAACAAAGTAACCAGAAGACTGGAGGAGAGCATATATAGGGATAAAATGATAATAATTTTGGTAATTAAACTGGACCTATGTCCAGTCCAACCTATAATTTTGACCTCTATCTGGCTTGGGTGAATGAAGACACATATAAAAGAAGCTGCATATGTGCCTTTATTTCTATCATTTTTCAAAAATAAACCCCATCATTTTCTGGATGTTTTTGATAACTGGGATTTTTTCTTTGTCACAATAAAACATTGCCTTATCTGTGGTGTACATTTACAGAAAAATAATTTGCTAGTAGCCATCTTTTATCCACCAAGTTCCAAACAAATCTGGGGAAGTTTAGGGTGACTATTTTTTTAGTCCTTTACTCCAGTCATGATTTCAATATAAATTAGAGGAAAAGTCCAATGAAAATGCAGTTTGCATGGGGTAGAACCATAAGAGTATATTTTGTACACAAAACACTTTTACCTTTTTCCCCCCATATTTGACAAAGTGCTTTGAGTAATTATCTATTTATCTATGGTGGCAAATATCCCACATTCTGTGTAGAATATGCCAGTGTAAACAAAATTAAATCTTTTCTAGTAGCAAATAGCTTCCTCTGATAAATTCCATATAACCCTTCCACATTAGTTGCCAAGACTCAATATGTCTGCCTGCCTGCCTGCCTGCCCGCCCATCCATCCTTCTATCTGCCTTAGTAATTTAAATGGTAAGAAAATCATCAGTGTAGATGAAAGCAAATTATGAGGGAAACCTAATGGTTCAAGCATCTTACCTTACCTTGTAAACTATATATTTCTCCCATGCTGTTCTGCCGAGTGATGTGATGCCAGTATGCACTACGAGGAAGTGAGATCGACTTAGGTAACGTCATTGGTTCGGACAAACTGGTCTGAAGCTGCAAAGATAAAAAAAATACACCATAGCATGTTTCAGAGTAATCTGTCATATATGTTTCAAGATAACATTATCACAATCAATTTGTTAAGCTGATGTATTTTAACTCACAATCAATTATATTTTATTGTGTCCACTAATGCTGGCAAAAGTTTGATGAAAACCTACAAATCAACATATTGTTCCTTAAATTATCAAAAAAGCCAGTTTGTATAGTGCTTAAGGTCCTGGCCTAGAAAGCCAGAGGCTGTGAGTTCTAGGCCTTCCTTAGGCATGAGAAGCTGGTTAGTAAGTTTGAGCCAGTCACAGTGTCTCAGCCCAACCTATCTCACTTTGTTGTTATTGTGAGGAAAATAGAAGGCAAGAATATTAGATATATTTTCTGCCTTGAATTGTTCAAAATATATAAAAAAGGCAGAATATCATCATCATCATCATCATCATCATCTCCTTCAGTCCAAACTCAGCAGAGGAAATATAAAGCAATTAATATCTGGGCAAATCCAGTTATTAAATACATAGTTGGAATAGCGAATTGGAGTCAAGCAGAACTAAAAGCCTTCCACAGGAAGACCAGAAAAGTAATCACAATGAATCCTGTCCTTCCTCCACATAGCAGTGTTGATGGACTCTACTCATCAAGGAGCACGATGGGTGAGGAATGTTGCAAGTACCCCAAACAGTTGAAAAGGAAGAAGGAAAAACAGTGGAAGACTATCTGAAGGACAATGAATAAGATGCCCTGAGATTAGTACACCATGAAGGCTAATTGAGAATGAAACCAAGCCTTAAGAACAAGTGCACACAAAGCAAGGATTGAGAAGAGAGCAAAAGAAAGCAAATGCTGCCTCTAAAAAAAAGCTGAAGAGTCATCTAAGTTGGCTGCTGTAAGACGATCACACAGACCGATGACAAACAATGATGTGAAAAAGGAGCAATAATGGTGCATTGAAATATCCACAAGAAACACCACTTGCCTACAAGCAAAAACTGGTGGGACTATCCCAATGGACAAAGTAATAGAAATGAAGCAGCTAAAGTGCTCTGGGATTTTAGAATTTAAACATAAGAAAGACAAAAAAGTCTGGATAGTGGATATGGCAGTACCGGTGATAGCAGAATAGAAGAGAAAGAACTCGAGAAAATAAAAAAAATAAAAGATTAGCGAATAGAAATAGCACAACTATGGCAAAAGAAAGCGAAGGTAGTACCAATAGTAATAGGCACCTTGAGTGCAATCCCAAAATATTGGGGATTGCAACATTTGAGCACTGACAAAATTATCATCAGTCGAATGCAAAAGGCAAATTTACATGGAACAATGATGATATCTTTAATACCATCAAACATCTGCCTGTCAGATCCTTAGGATAGGTGGATAAAAGTGCCAAATCCAGTCTAAACATCTGGCTGACTGTGTGATGAACCATAATAATAATAATTGCACTTCCACTTTGTAGCAGTATACTTGTTACTGTAGTTGCATTTCAAGAGGAAATCTGGCAGGCAAACAAAAGACAATATGCACTTCCACTCATGGTTACTTTCAAACCTGTTCAGGAATGTAATGGTTTTTTTTTAAACCCAAGAAGTAGAATCAATAACTATCTATACATCTAGCTGCCTTAATAGTTGCAAAGGAGCAAAATTGCAGATATTGTTCAAGAGATGGGAATTTGAATATAGGGTTCTCCATAACACTATAAACTACCTATCTGCTCAAAGCAAAGGGTATGTGATGTACTAGGAACAGTGTCTTTCATATAACTAGCTCCTAAGATAAATGGTGATCTATGCCATTTCTCTATATATTTATTGTCTTGCTGAAATAGTGGGCAGATAGATTTTAGTTGACAGGTTTGTTCATAACAAATAACAAGGAGCAGGTTAATCAAATGAACAAGTGACTAAAGATGAAGGTGAGTAAAAGGTACATGGTGCAGAAACTACAGTGATCAATTAAGAAGGAAAGTGGGGCAATATTTTCTAATAGACAGCTTGTGCAATTAGTAGAAAAGGTTCTTTATAGTGTGAGCTGTGCCACTTGATGTTGAGATCTATGCTTTTCCTAGCTACTTTTGGTGACTAAGAGGACTATGAATAGCTGGAGTCAAGAGGTTATGAATTTCTTTCAGAAAGGATGCAGTGCCATCAATCCTGAAAGAGGTGGTAATGCACTGTCTTCTGAAGAAGCTTTATCTTGACAACTTTTACCCAATACAAACATTTCCTTTCTGGGGGAGTTTTGGAAAAGGTGATGAGAAATCAGCTTCAGAGGATGATATAATATAGGAATCCTCTTCAGCATGGATTCAGACCTCTGCATAGATCTGGTACATGAACTACATCAGGAACTAGAAAATAGGAGTGAATCCCTGCTAAAACTAACTAATATCTCATCAGCTTTCGATACCCATTGACTACAATATATGGATTTTGAAAGGTAGGGATACCAAATTACAGTGGTCATGCTCCTACCACAGCAAATAGACTCAATTGATAGTAATGGGAGATGAGTATCAAACCCATGATCTCTCCAATATGAATATCTCAGGGCTTAATTCTTTCCCTGCTTCAGGATCCAATCTGGTCAGTCATCGGGACCAGAAATTTTGTCTTCTGAGCTTTTGGATTCATGCTGGAGCCTATCTTCAAGGAACTTCTCTCTTTCCCTACTGCTGTGTAATATCTATATGAAATCAATGAGAGAGACATTATCCATTGTTTTGTTTTGCTGTAAGATACTATCAATATGCTGATAATACTCAATTATAACCAATACCTTGGGCCATAATGGATATACTATAGAAATTCTGACCTAGGATCTGGAAGTGGTGATTTTGGGTATGGGCCAAAACAAGTTAATGATGAATCCAAGAAAGATGGAGTTCCTGGAGTTCAGAAAAATCATGGTTCGTTAACACCTTTAGTGATTGTTCTAGGAGTTACTCTCTATCTTCAAGAGGAGGCCTGAATTCTGCTCTAATGAGTTTTCACAAATAAATGAAAACCTTCTCTAGTTCTGAGATACAACATTAGGTGGATGTTATGTTTTGATACCTATCTTTTTGATTAGTACCACTGCACTATATATTTTGCTTTTTAATGTTCCACAATTGTTAACCTTTTTTTCTTGTCCACTGCTTACTGGCAGCATAGACATGTTCTGCAACATAAACACTTTAAATGAAGCTAAATGATAACAGATTTAGATCCTTAAAAAGCCAGTACAATTTCACATAGTGCATAATAAAATAATGCTATTTGTGTCCTCAAAATATGGTGATAGCCACCAACTTAGTTTTAGAATTAATGAAGGAGAAGGGAATCGATAGTCAAACATCATGCTGGGAAACTACTTTACGATCAGAGGTAACATGCTTTTGATTCTATGGAAGAACAAAAGGAGTTCTGATTAAGGACCAAAAGAGGAGAAAGCTATTACTACTACCAATAGGCCTCTGCTGGTCCATAACTCCATCCACTGGGGAGAAAGAGAGAGGAGAGAGGAGAGAGGGAGGGAGGGAGAGGGAGGGAGGGAGAGAGAAATGGAAAGATATGAAAAATTGATCCCGCCTTCCATTATTGTAAGGTTCTTCTCTCACTGTTGGTTAACGATTAGAAAACTTGCAATATACTTTAGATGAATCTATTTTTCTAGGATTATTTCTAAAATTCCAACTGAAGTTTACAGTTCCCATATTTGTGAAAGAAATCCCTGACATCTTTTCACTAAAAAGAAAAAAAAAGTGATATGTAGGTTTTGTCCAAGCCAGACTGGATTTGTGAGTAAGGCTGAGTAAAAACTGGCTTACTAAAGCAGCTCTAAAAGGCAGTGTTCTGTGTAAAGTTCATGGGTTTGCAAGCAGCAATCTCATTAGGAGGTAATGATTCTGAAAAACAGCATTAATTCTCATGTGGTCTTTCTACTGCAGCTATTGTACAATGATTAAAGGACATTGGGGACGGGATTGAAAAGAACTTATGGGCTGTATTGTCTGCTTCTCACAATCATGCTGCCCTACAACCCTAATTTAAAAATATATAAAAATACTATAGATCAATACATGCAGACAGGACATTCATTTAAACAATGTTTAGAAGTAGTAGTAATTTATTGATTAATCTTGTGACCTTATCAATAAAATAAAATAAAATAACAATAAAATATAGCATATGGTCTATTTCTGGAGTGAAATAGGAGGAAATATTTATAAAATAATATGTATTAAACAAATCTCCCTTACAGGGTACTCCAATTTATTCAGTGTCCAGGATTCAGAGAACCACTACCTTAGTTATAAACTTAGCACTTCTATATATAGTATGTACATTTTCGCCCAGGAGGAAATATAACTATCTGTGAACTGGATACTACTGGGCTGTTCTTTCCAATAGGGATTATAAGTATTTAAGACTAATGGGGGCATATAATTGACATTTGAACAAAATATGAAAAATATTTCCAATGGTTGGAGTACTGCTTATGGAGGTTCTCTCATAATTTGGCAAATGGCAGAAGTGCTCATATTTCACCATAGAGTCCAACAACTCAAATATTGCTCTAGAATAGGCGCTTCTTAAAATTTGTGTCCAACTCAATTTTCGTTTTGAAAAATCGTTTTATTCTTAGCCAATCAACCTAGGAATCTATTTTTAGCCAACAATTCCATGTTAGTTTAAACACTAATATCTAGGACTCTGTTTAAAAATTTCCCTTGCCTAGGAGGTAATTGAGAGTAAATGCTGCATAGAAAACCCATATTGTGAAATAACGCTGGAGAGTTGGCTGACTCAGGAATTGGGCTGGTTTTCGCTTATCTATTCTGTTAAGCACATTTTGAGAAGTCTATTAGGGTAACAAAATTTGGAATTATTGTATATTTACATTTGGTCAATTTTTTTTCAGAAGAAAGCCTCATTTATGATTTCATATAAATAACTGCTACAAAAGACAATTACTCCAAAGTAAATTGAATGCTCTGGACAGGAGGATTCCAA